TCCCCCCCCACCCCCCCCCCCCCCCCCCATAGCCAAACCACTAGGCTCGAGATAGAAAAACTCAGAAAACAAATCACTTGCCGTGACAGCAGGCCAAGGCATGGTGACGTGGTTGCATTGGTTAAGACAGCCAGGTGCAGGCTGGCCGCGGTAATGGTTTAGGCATCACAAATCACTGAATCACAGAGCTGGAAGGGATCTTAAGAATGACTATCAGGCTCATCTCTCTCTCAAGGCTTTTACGTCCTTTTCAACGTTCTTCTTTTCAGTGATCTACTATCTGTTGAAAACATTTCTCTGGCATGAGAAATATAAGGAAGGGATCCCAATCCAATTTAGGATAGATCTAATTTTTAGATACGTTCATGTGTTAGACCTAAATAGGCACCTTGGGCAGAATGGAGAATGTTTAAGGGCAGAAAATACAAACTAAAGCCCCTGAGGCTCGGCGTGCAGTTCGCGGTTGCAGAGTCGAGCTAGATTCAACACGAGCACAGAAGTTCCTGAATTCAGTTAGGACATACGGTACTCGGGCCTTGAAACAAAAAGGCAGATGATGTAACAGCAAGAAACAGGCACTGCCAAGCCCCCCTGTGGGATGGCGGTGGCTGCCTGAGCCCTTTTCATTGCAACTGAATTGAGGAAAGTCTGTCCTTCCCACTTGGCAGTCACTGCGCCGAGGGCTTACGGCATTGACCACACCACCCTGTGGGGAGCAGTCTGATGCCGTGACGGTGCTTCTGCGCCACAGCACAGGGTGCTGCCTGGTACTGCAGGACTTCACTCTTCTAGAACAATCTCCTGCCGCCATGGGCCAAGGGGTTTCTTTTTTCAAAGCGGAGCAGCTGGGCCCTGTCCTGTCCACCTATGGATTATTCTGTAAATTCTGGGCCAAGGGCCCTGCATGTGATGGTCTCCAGCTCCAACACAGAGCCTCCCGTGAAAGGCTGTGCACTCAGAAAGATGAGAATTAGTCATCAGGGGGCATTTTCAGGTAACTGTCCTTGGGGTTTCAAAAGAAAAGAAACTGATACTACGTCTGGAGGCAGGATATGCCTCTAAGGAAATCTCTTTTGGCAAATAAACTGTTTACTGCCCCCACCCCCACCCCCAGGCCATGGAGCCTCAGCATCTAATAGGATGGAGGCTCTGGGACCGCAGCTGAGCCACTGGTTCTCTGGCAAGCCCAACCCACTGTGGTCCCTGAGCAGGCCAGGCTGATCCCTTCCCAGCCTTTGTTTATGCTCTTTCCACAGCCTGGAGAGCCATTTCCTCCCCCAACTCTTACTCAACTCACTGCTTCTCTTTTAACAGTCAACTCAGAAGTCCTTTTCTCTGTCAAGTCCCTCCTGCCACCCTGCTGGGTTAGGGGTGCCCAGGGTGGCTCCTGGGGCGTGACTTCCAGCACAGCTCTATCATCCACTCAATCACACTGAAGTGATTCAGGAACGCATGTGGCCTCTGCCCAGCCAGGGACTGGGCCTCACAGACCTTGTCACCCAAGTGCCTTGTTCCAAGACTGCTGCGTGGTGGGCACTTGACAATAGTTGGTTGACCTGGACTAAAATTTTAAAGACTGTCATCTAGGTAACTCTGTTCAAAATGGACTTTCTGTTTTCCAGTCAAGCTGCTAAAGATCTACTTTTGCACCAGGAAAAAAAAAATAACTTAACATTTAACCTAATATTAGGGGAGCAAAACAAGAACACTTCGGCAAGATGCTTTCTTTCACGTTAAAAACATGAATCTCAGTGAACAAGATCACTTACATACAATTAAACCACTATAGAAGAGGAAGAATTCAAGTAATCTAATTTAATGAATGTTGATGTACAGTAACTGTGACACGCAGAGTATCCTTTTCCTTAAAAGCCGAATTTTGGACTTGGAGATTTGACTGGTGAGCAAAACTAAATCATGCTTTTAAGTCGTGCAATGTTCTGCGCTGCTAGAAGACATATGGACAATCAGGGCTTGGCTCTGGAGCTGACCTGCACAATCTGGGCACACACATGCCGGTGATCCTGGGAAGGAAGGTGGGATTTCGGTATGAGACTCTCTTGAGGATGCTTGTCTCTCTCTGACAAAGGAAGAAACTTAAAACATCGAGAGATGAAAAAGTGATATTCCATAAGTAGGGCAAGTGGTAGAAGCCCAGAGACTCACAGCCAGCCTTCAGACAAATGGGAGAAGGTGCATTTTCAGTGTCCCTGGATTTCCATTGACGTTTTGTCACTGAGGTGGTTTCCAGGGAAGAGGGCAGGAAGAAGTTTATGCAGGTGCAGAACTGCCTCCTCTTACAGCACCCACCCACTCATAACCACAGGGCAGGGGCCCAAAGTGTCAACTGTGCTCATCATCAGAGCAACAAACTTGGGTCCAGAGAGTGTCCTATCTTAAGGTGTTAGAAGTCTCTCTTCCCACTTACTAGCCATTACTAGCTGCTCGAACATTCTTTTAGATTCTCTTGTTTATATCTCTGCTATATCTGTCTTGTAGGACTAAAATTCTTTTCTCCTTGGCACATTCTAGATCCCTGAAGATCCCTTTCAGTTTTGCGATTTTATGATTCTTCAAAAAATTCAAACAATCAAATGAAAAAAATGCTATGGTTTATTGACCTCATACAAAATCACACAGGATTCCAGCTACCTAATCTTGGACTATTTTTGCTACTGTGGAGACATCTCCATGCAATTAAAGGCTCCAGTAGTAATGTCCATCCTTTGGAAGAACCAAGAACACTCGATTGGTTTTATCCAACCAAATAGAGAACAAGTCTGTGTATGATATGTGCAGTTTTGCTACTTTCCCAACATAGCCACGTTTAGGCATTATGTGCCAGAGCTACTGTTTGTTTAAGGAAGAGAGCAAAAATATATGTAAAGTGCAAATCCAATGGGGCAAAACAAGAATGTGACAGTTCACCTAGACAGGAGAAAAGCCAATGCTGGTGCCAGCTTTCACTCCTAATGAATGAAGCCTCCATTTCCATAAAATGCTTGGAAGACACCCAACACTAGCACAGATTTCTCTACAAAGAATACAAAAAATGGTGGCCACTTCATTCACAGTCTTACAAATACACATGGTTAATTTGCTAAAGCCCTTCACCAAATTCAAGCACCCATGCTGATGAAGAGAATGAAAAGGGCAGAGAAATGGACACCTGGGGTTATCTATATTTTTCAATCCTGATCCTCACTCCAATGAAGGTTCAAGTGGTTTCTACCTGTGGGTGGCTCTGTGGCTGGGCAACAGCAATGCTGAGAGGGGGACAGCTGGAGTGAAGCCCAGGGTCACAGTCTAGAGTGACCGTAATGCACATGTGTGATCTCACGAGGACGACTGGCTTCTTGAATGTGATCTGAACTCTTCTAGACCTCACTTAGAATCCACTCAAGGCTTGCTAGGTACCTCCCTAATACTGCATTTCCCTTTCTGTATACAGGCCAAGCTCTGAGGGTCAGGAAGGGAAAGCCAAGTGATTCATTCCATTACTCATTCTAACACACACTTCTCTAGTATGTACAACTTGGAAAATGCCTGCAGGTTCTAGTAACAAACTACAACAGAGATATTTGAATATTTTAAATTTAATTCCCTTTTTAAAGCTCTTTTACAGAGCAATCATGCAGAAAAGGCTCAAACTAGTTAAAATAGCTCAGACTGATGGCAAGAAAGGTTGGTGTGGAAGGGAGCAGAGAGTGCCAAGTGGTAATGGCTCCCATGTGTGCCAGTGTGCACATGTGTATGTGCATCCTCAGAGTCTGGTCACATGGACTGATTTGGTTTGATGTCTCAGGGAGGTGGTGCCAGTGTGTGTGTGTCTGTCCCCTGTGGCATGTACTGTGGTGCATGGGACACACACACTGCCCTGCTTCACAACGATGGGCAGTAGAATCACCTCCAGGAAGCACACGTGGTCAGTATTAGGGGTGGTATCCAAGGAGGGCCTGTAGTATTCCCCCAGAGTTAGGAAGCAGAGTAATGAATGATCAAGAGTGGAAAAGACTGCTTTCTAGGAAACAGGGAAAAATACTAAGGGGTTGTTTCAATTCCACTCAAATATGACCATCAACAACCTGTCAAATCAGAAGTCAGTAAGATACTATGCAGGTAGGGCTTGGTAAGGGAAGGGCAAGCGATTGGCCTGTTGATCCACAAGGCTCTATTTCACCTGGAAATCCTCAAGAGACTTACTGATTCCCTGATGTTCCTGACAAGTGAGGATGGAATGAAGTGGTACCTGGAAAGTGCTTCGAGTGGGCCAGGCACCTAGCATATGCTTACCGCTAATTTTAATCCTAGTTTATCAGGTGAAGATAAGATTTTTATAGGACTTTAAGGTCTTGAGTTGAGTCACCACACACAAGAATACTTGATTTTATCAAGCTTGATTGGATTACTTTAGAAATGAGCTTTCTTCAGGTTCATTTTTGGAAGTCCTCTTCTACATTCTAAGAAGTAACACAGCATGAACTGTACCTTAATGTCCCAGATCACATAGTTTCAGTATGAAAGTGTGCAAAATGTTCTGATGCAATACATTAAGATAAACATGTTAAATATCTAACTTTTAACGGGGAAGAAATACAGATAGTAAGGAATAAAATAGGATTATAATCTAGCAGTAACAAACATGTTCAAGTTCAAAAACAATGTTACACAGAAAAACACATCTTAAAAGACACTTAATTTTTGAAGCACGTAGGTTTTTTTGGGGAACGTGTGTGTGTTTAATGTTATGATGAGAGAGAAGTGTGTCAAAAAATAATAAAAAGGCTCAGGAGGCTCCAACTGAATTCTAAACAATCCAGGCACTGACAGTTGAAGCTCTGAGTTACAATCACCTACTTCTGTGATGACAAAGGTTGGAAGCAGCTTTCTCACAGCATTTTTAATGTGGGAAAAACAGAGGAAACAAGCAGAAACACCAGGTCAGTTCTCCTCCATAAGAACATAAAGGAATCAGATTTAAACGGGTCATAAACGGACTCTTCAGGCAATAAAGCTACACAAATGGTTTTGCAAATCTCTCCACTGCAGAGGATATGAAAGAAGAAACAAGGGGGTCTCCAAAAAGTTCACGGAAAATGCATATAATGAAAAAGCTATGCATAGTTTTCAAAACTGTTTCTGCACCAAAATAAACTTAGATACTTAAATTTCATTTCTCCATGAATTTTTCTGAAGTTTCCTTCTATGCTCTGGTGAAAAACAGAGAAGGTGCAGGTAGATGCAGTGAGAAGTGAAGAAAAAGATGCGGGCCACGTGATGCCTGCTCAAGTGAAGAAAACATGGCAACTACTTGCGTACGACCAAAATACTCGAACAGCTACTTCCCTCTTTTCTCCCACACACAAAGCAACAAGTAAAATGGAGTATTGAGAAATATAAAAATTAAACACCCCACAGTGATTTTTTTCAGTATTCTCAAAACAATGTAGTATAGCCAGACTGTATAAACCATTTGTTAAAAAAATATCTTCTTTTATGCTGTATGAACAAGTTGAAAGAGTCCCATTTGGGGGGTTCCTTCATCACTGTCTGCGCAGGAAATAGGCAAATGCATCTAGGATCTGTGGTTTCTCTCTTACTTCTCACATGTCTACTCCTCCAGTAATGATTTGGATAAGATCAACCATTTCTTTAGTAAATATTATCTTTCTAGTTCCTGGAGAGTTATCAAGACACTACTGGGGTCATATCCCACAACTGTAAAGAGAAAAAGAAGAAATAGGATGAGTTCAATTGTGCTGAAGTATATAAATAGTCTTTGTAACTGAATTCCTTGAGTGATTTTTTTTTTTTGCATTTAATAATCAACTACATACTAACCTAATTTCTAAATATATAAAATACTGGTTTTTTTAATCACAAAGTTCAACATTAAGGTTAAAAATACAATGGAAGCTTGAGATGTTGCTCCAGCTAAGGGAGAATGAAGGTGGATTAGATCCATTTAAGGGAGAAGGAAACAAATATACATTGGACACCAAACATGTGCTGTGTCCTTTTCAAACAATTCTGTAAATGTCTCAGTTTTTAAAATAAAGCAACCGGGGCCAGCAGGTGGTGTGGTGATTGAGGCATTGGATTCCCACATGGCCAACTGCAATTCAAGTCCTGGACCTAGCAGCTTGTTCTGTCTCTCTCTGTCAAAATTGAAGAATAATGATAATAAATACAATTAAAAATAAATAATTCTTTAAAAGAAAAAATAAAGCAATCGAGACTGTCACAGTTTACTTTAAATGTGCCCAAAGCCACAGAGGTCTGGTAGCTTCCAAAGGTAGTTACTTTAACCTCTTCATCCTCTACGAGGATCCTTTTGTAACTTGCTGTGGTCAGGAGGTAGAGCTCAGTGTGCTGGGTGTGCCTGTATCTCTATGATTCTTAGGGTAAGATGCTGGGGGTGGCCCCTTCTGTCTTGGGCCCCTGCATGGCACTGAATCCCTATGGTTGACCATAGTCCTCAGACCCTGCATGACAACTTTCTCACTGGAAAAAGATCTCGTTTATTACCTGCTGGCTTATTTAAGTTCTGCCCTTCATCCAATGCTCAGCTCAATCCCACCTTCTGTGTGAAGCACCATCTGCCTTGTCCAGCAATACCATCTGCCTCTGCTGAACTTATGAGGTAACTCTCATGTGTATTACCATGCTGACTGCTGAGTAGTCATATTTGTCCTTTTAAGAGTAAGCCCCAAATAGATGATCTGCTCCTTGCAGGCTGGTGCCATGTCTTATTTCTTTGTATATAGCTAGTGCCTACAAGGGGCCTTGCACGTGATAGGCTCTCAAAAATGCTAACTGTCAAGGATCATCTTTTGAGCAGTACCTCATATGATCTTGGTGCTCCTACTTGCATAAGGCCAAAGATGGAAATCAGATGGTGTTTTACCTTAATAACCTTGTCAGTTCCAGAAGTCAGTAACCATCCTCTGGTTGCATCAAAATGTACATGCACAATGTTATGTTTGCTGTCATGGAAGGTAGCTGTCGGTGCACGTCTGGAAGGAGCAAAGGAAGTTTGCAAGAGTGAAAGGTAGTGATATGAGAATGAAGAAGATCTAGGATGACATTAAACTCGAAGTTTTTAGTTCAGTGGCTAGAACTGCTTCACTGTTATAAATGCTTCTCATATCCAAAAAGTAAACGATTCTTAAGAATTTCCAAATGGGCAAAAGATGAAATCTCCAAAAGTCCTTTTGGAGAATGTGTTGCTCTAGTGGAGTCTGTAAAAATCTCGACTTGTTGTTTCTGAGAAATCTTTTAAAACCACAGAGGTTTTGCAAACTTTGAGCTCAGAAGGGCTTGCCAATAAAAGTCAACCTTTGCCTATTACAAAAAAATAAAAAAGACATGCTTATTAAAATGCCTAAGATACTAACTACTATCATTCCTAATTGAAGGGTCTCCTATTCTTTCTTTTTCACTGGTATAATTGCAGGCTTAGTTTTTCTGTAGGATCCTCAAGCTTTAATAAGCAATTTAAAATAAAAAACAAAATCATTATTTGTTTTGAATTTTTAAATCTATACTTTTTTTTTTTTAAAGCAAGAAGGCTTTGTCAACTGCCTAGGTGCTCCAGAGGCAATGCAGGCACTTCCATTGAGACAAGGCCAACAAACAGTGAGGTAGGAAGGGGATGGGATGCAGCGATAGGGACAGTGGCTCTCTAGTTGGGTTCTAAGGGTCTCACTCTGTTGCAGGAGGCTCTCAGATGACAGTGTTCTTTCTTTTTTTCTACAGCTAAATCTGTAGCACAGATCTTCAGTATACTAAAATCTAATTAAAGATCTATGCTTAATTAGCAAAGCTGCTTAGGCTCTCTGGGTCTGTGCCTTTATCTATAAAATGAAGAACTCAACTAGAATATGCCTAAGGTCTCTCACAGTTCTCACTCAATGAGAAAAACTTGCTTATTAATTTCATCATGTGTGATGAGTAGAAAATAATCAAGGAATATAAGTGTTTACTTATACAAGGGCATTGTCATTTATATTTGATAATGGATAAAAAAGAATGCTTAAAATACTTTTACAACACAAATTGGGAAGACAAGCTACCTAGGAAATCTTTTTGTAACTTGCTACAGGGGAAATTTGTTGCAGAGCTTTCTGGTTAACTCTGCCAGCAGTTTTCAATTAGCCAGCATTAGTTAAGAGACAGTGCAGATCTGTCCCACCCTCCCAAGCACACAAAGGTGCAGGGTTTCAGGGCAGGACTCAAGAGCAGCCAGCTGAGCATCCCAGCAATAGGGGAATATTTGCCTCTTAGCTGAAAGAGGTTAGCTCTTCCTGGAAAACGAAACCTTCTAGAGTCACGGGTTGATTAAACTCCTGTAACGACACCAGCCTGGGCTAGAGAGTGACCCCTGAGCCCCTACGCTCCCGGGCAACTGTCAAGTAAATGAGCAGATTCAAGAGTTTGCATGGAGAGCATCTATTTTAAATGCACATACCCCTGGGATTGAGAAGAGCGCAGAGATGAATTCTTTGAGTGCATTCTCTACTCTTTATCTCATACGATAACACAGATCTCTTGGGGGCAAAGGAGGGCTTGTACCATTTGCCCTGGTCTATATTCTAAACTAGCAAGAATTAGAGCAGCTCAAGTCATGGCTGGAACACTGACTGCAGCTCTCAGATCAGATCCTCGCCTTAACCAGGAGAGCTCTGCAGACTACTGGAACTTACTCTTCATCTGTGATGGCCTCATGGCAGCTGTCACAGACCCTCACTTCAAACTCGAAGCCCATCAGAGGGATGGAGGAGCGCTTGGAGCTGCACTTGCCACAGACAGCCTTCCCACACTTGCGGCAGTGGTGCTGGAGAAGGGAGAGAAGACATATTTGCTGTGGCTCTTGTGTCCCGCCCCTGATAGTCCCAGGCTCATCGGCCACAATCAGGCGAGGATGCTAAATAGGAGCAGCCCAGACCACGAACAGGAATGCACCAGGCGTGTTCTCTCTTTGGGCTCTGTTTCATCAGAATGAGGGCTGTGGGGAAACACCACCAGACTCTGCCACCACCCCACTACTCAGCTTTCCCCATTCTTGGTCTTTGCCAATTATCATCACTGTGAACTATAGTGAAACCATCAGGTGACCTCAACGCTGAGTGTACTGAAGAAGTTTCACCTCCAGGGATCACGCGGCTGTAACCTCATGCAATCCGCTGTGTACGTGTTATCCCTGCTCCCCGAAGTGGCCCAACATTTGATTTCCTTGGGGAAGACCAAATCAAACCATGGAATCAGACTGATCAGACTGTATCATAAGTAGATATAAACACCTAAATCAGAAGGAGGGAAAGCAAAATAATTAAGGGGAAATAAATGCCACTTACAAAATTTCATGGTTTGGTACCAACATGAGCTAAGCATGACCAGCCTCTAATTTTAAGGTGTATTTCAATCCACACCACTAGGATTTAAAATCATTGCCTTTAGCTACACTTCCTGGGAACAAGTCACTACAGAAACTGAATCTAGTACATACGAGTTATAGTAGGTAGGAAGAGTAAATTAATGTGTGGCCATAAGGTGACTCCAGGATAATAATTTGCTTCTGCCACGACTCATGCCCAGGGTGCTATTTCTTCTAAGATCATAAGGTTAGGTTATTTCTCCACAATTATATTTGATAAAGTATCTGTAATACTCACCTGTCTTAGGCCAATTTTCTTACTATCCCACATTTGCTTGAAGTTCCAGAAGAAAGGCTGATCACACTTCTGGCAGGAGTCACTGTCCAGCCATTCAGGGGTCTTGTCAAACAAAACACATAACAGGTCACAGATGAGAACAAGAGGACAATGGGATCACGGACACCAGTGAAATGTGAGCAAACAGGATGTGTTCATTAAAGACACGTGGGATTTCTCAGTCACGTAAGAAAACATTTCTGACTGCCTGTTATGTGTCTGGAGATGAGCTGCAACAGTGGATAAAACGATTCTCCACTGGGGCTAGCAGGTGCCATGGTGGTTAAGGTGCTGGTCTCCCACATGGTAGACTGTGGTTCAAGTCCCAGACCTGGTGGCTTGCTTTCTCAAGTTTTCTCTCTCCCTGTCTGTCTCTGGTGAGCATGCATGCCCTATGGAAAAGTAAAAAAATAATAACGAAAAATTGAATTAAATAAATGGTTTTTTAAAAAGAAAAGGATTCTCCACCTTCATGAAGCTGATAATTTACCAGGAAGACCAGACATGAAAACATGGTTACTAATAGTTAGAGTGTAAGTGTATGAGGGCCTGGGAGAGAAAAGTACCTTGTGCCACAGCAGAGGGATACAGGAGGCTCTAAGCCAGGCCGGGATTCTCGGACAAACTGTAGGACAACTGAGACCTGGGGACAGATGGGAGGGGGTGGCAGAGGGGGCTGAAAGATGCTCTGGATGCCTGGAAGGGACAGCAGGGGTAATGAGGGATGAGGCTGGAGGGGTAAGCAGGGACCAGATCACATGGGGTCCTGGCAGCCATGCAGAAGATTTAGGGTTTCTCATATTCTCTGACTGCATGCGATTATATTTTCTCTGATTATGTAAAATGATGTTTAACTGCACATCACACGTACTCACAGCTGCCCATGTTGGAGTGATTCAACCTGACTACAGCAGATACTCGGGGAGCTGCCTGTCTACTGTCCACTCATGGCAGGGCCTGCCGGGTTTGAGGCTCTGCTCCTTAGCTTCTGGGTCACATGGTGTTGTTCTGTTCAGTTTCCTACCCCCATCACTAGTACTCTAAAGGATGTCAGACAGGTTTTAAAAGTACGTTCAGCTTAAAGTCATATTTTAGCAAATTGTTATAGATTACACGTACATTTGCTTCCAGAGTTCTATGTTCAACTCCATAAAATCCTCTATTTGGCAGAATTCATCTCTTTCCATATAGCACAAAACTCAAGGAACTTTGAAAAATACATCCAGCCCCAGAGTTTCCCCAAAGTGAATTCCAGGAAATGTCTGACTCACAGGACACTCGCTCTAAGAGGCCCAAGAGCAAACAAGTTTGAGAAATGTAGTTAATGGCCCACCCCCTCTGAACACGCACAGCAGACATGAGTACAGTAAAGCCTCTGGCAGTCCTTCTGCTGTTGATGTTTAATTTTCTTCTGGGAATACCTGTTGTGGAACAGATACTGGGATTTAGCTACTTCTACATTCAGGTAGAAATGAACCTACAAATACACACTTTTTTTAAAAAAAGGTAAGAAAGTGACTTTAAAAAATTTTTTTTGTTGTTTTTCTATAGGGTGTATACACTTGCTAGAGAGACAGAGAGATAGAAAGTGAGAAATCATCCCCCAGGGGGGATGACCACACCACAATTCCTTCTCCTCCATTCTCCTCTTGAGAACTTAAGCACACACATACATACATCTGGCGTGAGTTTCAAGCTGCCCAGTCCGGGACTCAATCTGTAGTCAGCCACATGGGAGTCCAGCACCTTAACCACTATGCCACCTGCTGGTCCCCCCCAAAAATTTCAAGAACTCTATTCTTGGTCTATTTATTTTATTAAAACCAAAGAAAAGAAGTTAAGTCTTAATTTACTTTGTCAATTTCATGCTATATTCAGTTTAAGAACAGATTTAATAAAATGATATTTTTTAGCTAAAGACATTTTACCCCTAAAAGACTTATTGATGCTCTAATTTTTTTAAAAGAACAATAAATAACAATGTAGGAAAATCAGGAAGATGTACCAAAAAAAGAGGAAACAGAAACTCATTTGTTCCACAAATAAATCAAGTGATGCTTATAGTAATCAGATTCAGTTAGTCAAGAGCGTCTAGTGGCCTGAAAAACTGAATTAGTAACCACGGCACACAGGAGAAAACATATTAATATGTTCCTTAGAGAATCCAAGGAGTAGTAGTAATGCTTGTTTATGGAACAATTTCTCAAATATTAGCTTATTACCATTAAAAATGATGTAGTAGAAATAAATATTTAAAGAAATGAGAAATGTTTAATATATAATGAACCGAAAAAAACCCCAAGTTATTAAATAATACATATAGCACCAAGTTAACAGAGACTACAAGAAGATATGTACAAAGTCTATAACTAACAAAGAACTCCTGAGAATATCTACGATGTGCAAAGTACCCTATAAATAGATAACGAAATGATAGGAAAAGGTGAGAAATTTGTAGAAGATAAAAACATGCAGTTCATAGAGGGAAGTATATGAAGCTAAGCTCCAATTTACTGGTAAGCAGAAATTTCAAGTAAAAATGAGTTACTATCTTATCTTTATTTCCAAAATGGCAAAACCAGAAAGGGAGTAACAGTTACTATGGTGAGGATGTGGGGTGTGAGGAAACTGCTTGTCCTCCGTTAGAAGTATAAATGGGTACAGTCCTTCGGTTGTCATTTAGCAAAACCAAGAATACACCTTCAATTGATCCCACTCTTGGGTTTATAGCCCTGAAAGTCTTACATAGGTCTTTGAGGGACCTATGAAGGTCATCTGGGCACCGTGTGGGTTACCAGGGAGTTTGTGGCAATCCATGTGCCCTGAACTTGGAAATGAAGATGTGAAACGTGACTGCTACTTGGGTACTGTGGCATCCTAAGCAGAAGTACCTCAAGATACACACTGTGGGATGGGGAGAGCTCAAAAAGGATCCTGTGGGAAAAGATGAAATGGAACCAGACTGGTAGGAAACTATCATTTATATAAACCTTAACAAACGCACACCCCACTACATCTTTTACACGGAAGCATGCATGTTTAGGACACACATCAAATCTATCATAATCTATCTACAGAGAGGAAGCTGGGAGTAAGGACATGGAAAGGGGAAGAATTTAAATCAGTACGTGTAGACAGATTCCATTTTGGGTTTAAAAAAACCCAAACTTGGGACCAGCAGGTGGCGTAATAGCTATGTCGCTGGACTCCCATGTAGTCGACCGCGGTTCATCTCGGACCTGGTGGCTTAAACTCATGCCGGGCGTGTGTGCATGTGTGCCCAAGATCCCGAGAGGAGAATGGAGAAGGGATTGCGGCGTGGCCATCCCCCCGAGAGGTGATTTCTCGCTTTCTGTCTCTCTGTCTTCCTGTAAGTGCAAGTGCCCTATAGCAAAAACCTCTCCAAAAAAACCCCCCAAAAACAAAAACAAAACTCAAACTTATATATAGAAGAGAATGTAATGAGGAATGTCTGCCAGCATATTAAGGGTGATATTTCTCGGTGATAATGAGTAATCAATGTCATTTTGTATTTTTAATTAGCATTTTGTAACTTTTTGATGAACACCTATGATATGCAATGTATACTTTTAAAAAAATAATGAAAGTTTGAAAAATGTATTTAACTGTACAAGGGTATATCAAAACATTTTTGGAAAATGGAATTAGACTATAGGCTTATATTGGAGCAAAAAAATTTTTTTTAAACTTTAGGTTTATTTAGGGCCATTTGCACGTGTTTATAGAATATGTAGCTAAGTCTAAAAGATGACAGAACAGTTCCCCTCAATGAGACCCTGGCCTAAATAATATTTGCTTTACTTACATAGCAAGAAGGTAACTTTAAAGACAGAAGCTTTAGATTTGTGGCACGCAATGATGAAGCTACACTGGGCATCCTTCAAAAGCTACAATTAGGGATCGACCTAGCTTCTCAGCGATACAAGCCCGATTGAGGTCTTCTGGCCCATTTGCTTGCCAGTCATGTTTTATGCCTTGAAATTCTTTTGGATTGCATCCTCAGAGCTTGCATCGATCATTTTACTTTACAGAGGCACTAGTTCTGGTGCCCATAAAAGAAAAAAAATCAACCCTTCTTTTCTGGATTCCTTGATTTCAAAGCTTGCATCATATGAGGCACAGTGGCAGTCTTTTTCAGGAAGCATTCACACAAAATGCTTGAATGGATCAGTGATGGTTACACCAGCATCTCCAACCAAGATCTCCTTGCCTTCTTCTACAATGATACACTCTTTGTCTGCACTGAGACAAAAAATGGCAGCCTTCTTTCTTTACTTGATTTGTTCTGGTGTGGAGCATTTCCTAACTTTCATGTCATAAAAGAACAACATACTTCATCAGCAGTTTGCACTCCTGAGGCCATCTTCCTGGCGGCTGTGGCAGGGACCTGGGGAAGGGAGCCGACAGGCACCAAATCTGCGGAGCATCCTTCTCACTGAAGTGGGACCAAGAGTTTGGCGCAAAAATTTTGAAATCCATGCATAGATTTTTATAATACACATTTTCCATGATTTTTTTGAAGATCCCTGTCATACAAACACATGTTTAACAGATGGGATGTCAATTTAATCTTCATCCAGCCACTCCAGTTCTTCCACCTATCATCTGTCTGCCATCCTCTTATCTCCAATGGCTTCTAAACTGCTCAGGAGCATATCCACCTTGTCCTTGCTCTTGGTGCTTCTGAGTCTGCAAGGCCCAGAAAGCTCCTGGTCACAACACTCCAGGCCCCATCGATCTTTCTGCACCATGTCCTTCCACAGACGCTTCACTGAGAACATCAGCCTTCCCCAAATACCCGGCACTGATGTCCTGTCTTACATTGCCGGCATACCATCATTGATATAATTTAATAGCACTCTGACATTTTCTCCTACGTATCTTCTTTTCCCAGAAAGTCTGTCAGTACTTCAGACTAGGGGCTGCTTCATTACATGTCTCAGGCCCCCTCAGGGGAGCACCACACACCCCCTGCCATAACCAGCTTTAACAAAACAAAACAACAAAAAAACTCAGAAGATTTGTGTTTATAAAATATGATCATTCTGGGACTAGCAGTTGGCATAATAACTATATCGCTGGACTTCCACGTAGTCAACTGCAGTTCAAGTCCTGAACCTGATGACTTAAACTCACACCAGGCACATGTGAATGAGTGCCTAAGATCCTGAGAGGAGAATGGAGGAGAACGGATTGAGGAGTGGCCATCCCCCTGGTGGGTGATTTCTTGCTTTCTGTCTCTCTGTCTCTCTGTGTCTTTCCGGTGAGCGCATGCACTCTAGAGAAAAAAAAAAAAAAAAAAAGATACTTCCAAAAAATGGTTGGAACAATCTCACTGTTTATTTAGAGTTTTTGACTTACTCCACAAGATTTTAAATAAGTCAATAAGTACTGAGTCCCCATTTATCTGCATGTCAAGATAATAATTTAAGCAAAGTATCAAGTAAATAATCGAAGCATAAGTTAAGCAAGATGGCTCAAAAGGCATAACCACCTGGCTTTATCTCCGGAAAAAAAACCATCATTATCCTCCGTTTGGCCTCTGTCGAGGTGGAAGTTGCTAGCACTGAGGGAGAAGTACCCAGCCATTCTCCCCTTTCCTGGTTTGGTCAGTTAGGCCTGGAAAGAAGTCAAGACAGACCTGGTATGACTGACCCTAACCCAAGCAGGCTACCGTGAAGAATTCAGCCCAGGCCACAGCCCCTGGTCACACAGGAGCCTGGTTAGCATGAACAGCACTCACTGTACGGATCCCCTGCCTTTATACACTGATGATGCCAAGTGTACTTTTCAAAGGCAATATTCTAAAATCCCCCACTTCCTAACAGTAATGATCATTTTAATTAGTTACTAATAGAACTCCTGTGGATTTATGGCTTGAGCAAATAAAGCTTTAATCTTCTTAAGCATTTAATTACTGGCAATTGAAAGGCATTACATGTGGGTAATAGCAACTACACTCTTGAAATGAGACTAGGGTGAGGGCATGGAAAAAGTTGAGAAATTACTTTTGTCTTTTTAAAGTGTTGCCTTTCTACCTAATTCTTATATCTTGCAAGGAATAAATGAGAAGAATGTATAATGTCCTGGGGAAAATATACCCAGAATAATTCTAGGGCAAAGGGAAAATTGTTAACTTCAAAGTATTTGTCAAAGGGGACATTCAGTAAACATAGTAGTTGTAGTAGGTAGGTTCACAGATTAAAAAGAAAAGTTATAAAAAATGTGTTATTGGGGTCAGCCAGGTGGCATAGTGGTTAAGGTAGCTGGATCCCACATGGCTGACTGTGTAGTTCAAATCCCTGACCTGGCAGCTTGAAAAACACACCAGGTACATGTTATGTGTGTGCCTAAAATCCTGAAATGAGAATGGAGGAGAAGGGATTGCAGTGTGGTCATTCCTCCTGGAGGGAGGGGGGGGGGGGCTTCCTTGCTTTTTCTCTCTCTCTGTGTCTCTTTCTGGTGAGCACACATGCCCTCTAGAAAAAAAGTATTATGGGCCAGCCCTGCAGAGCAGTGGTTAAGGGAGCTGGATCCCACATGGTCAACCATGGTTTGAGTTCAGCCCAGGTAGCTTGAAACATATGCTGGGTGTGTATGCATGCATGCCAAAAATCTGAACTGGGTGGAGATATGAAGGAGAAGCGATTGGGGCATGACCACACTTCATCTGGAGATGCTTTCTCTCTCCCCCTCTCTCTGGCTCTCCGGCGAATGCATGTGTCCTCTGACAATTAAAAAAAAGTTACGATAAAACTTAGTGAAGGTGTGTTTTAAAAAGACAAAGAATATAATTTATAACTGAGGAATTACTTACAACATGGCTGAATATATAAGCACAAAAAATAATTATTTCTAATACTTCTACTAATACCAAATTAAAGAGTTTATTTCATCGTTGCCATTTTTCCTGAATACCCCAAAGCACATGAGTTTTCTGGCTTTGTAAGGCATTTTATACTAAAGGGCCAATTGCCAGAAATAGATGGTTCTTTTTTCTTACCTGTACTTTTCCTGTGAATAGTTTAAAAGATTAAAATTGTAAGCAGCTTAGTCTCAGTCAAAATTCTTGTGAAATCTCCCATCACTTTAATGCCAATTTCTGAGGGGTGATTAGCACAGAAACTCCTTCTAGACTCTAATTTTTAATTCTCTGACATAAGATATCTTATTTCATGTTTAAGAATAAGCAGGAGGGACCTACAGCGAGAACTGTAGGGCCCATTCCAGCCTACCGTGAGCCTACCTCCTGCCTCTCCACATCCATGTTCCAGACGACAATCCCACCGTCACCACCACAGGAGATCAGCTGCCTTGTGTGCTGTGCATAGGAGAGGGCCTGGACTTTGTCACTGTGAAAGAAACCAAGAGTGAGTGAGACAGGTCAGTGGCGAGCAGAGGAAGGCCCAATAGCAGAAACATTAGCTAAGTCAGAGACTGCGCATATGCACTGCTGGGCACAAGTGCACATCTCAGAAACCCAACAGATTTTTTTTTTTTTTTTTGAGAGGCTTCCCCTCCCCACCCCCACTATAGGGCGCATGCGCTCGCCAGACAGACAGAGAGAGACATAGAGACAGAAAGCGAGAAATCCCCCCCCAGGGGGGATGGTCACGCCGCAATCCCTTCTCCTCCATTCTCTCGGGATCTTGGGCGAGCACGCACGCACCCAGCGTGAGTTTTAAGCCACCGGGTCCGGGAGGCGAATCGCGGTCAACTACGTGGGAGTCCAGCGACATAGCCATTACGCTAACTGCTGGTTCCCAGAAACCCAACAGATTTTTCAACATGCTAATAATTAGGAGAGGATTTGAGCTTTCAAATAAGTTTAAATTCTCCTTTCCCATATTTAGGCTCTGGAAGGAGGTAGTCCTTGTGAATTACCAACACTTAAGGAAAAAGGCTGATTGTTGAACTAGTTGCAACATCTGGTTAATTACCTTTCTTAACCGATTAACATCTGTGGCACAAGTTTATTTTATACACAATTTGTTCAAGAGTCATGATTTTTGAAAAACTATCTATAGGAGTTTTGCAGGTTTCCCATGGAGATGCTCATTGGATATAACCAACAGAGCCAGGTAAATGGTATTGTTTGAAGTGTACCCCTCAATGGTGGCGTAAGCCCAAGCATGCCTTTTCTTGGCTCCCAGTGTGAATCCAAAGCAGTAATGACTTGACTATTTCTTTAGTTTTAATTCCCTGTCTCTTAAATCTGTGTCTTATTTTTCTTTCTAGTTTTTTAATGGCTGACAACTTATTCCTTGGTGGTAGCAAAAAAGACCGAGAATTCTGTTTTATGGTCTGACAATATGATGACTGCTAACAATAGATTCTCTATTGAGTAAGAGAGAACAGGGTATCTGGTTGCTTGGTGAGTTTTATTTGTATGTGTATCTACTTTGAGCTCAAATTAATTAAGAATTTTGTACCTACTGGGAAGAAAAACAGCTCTTTGATATCTAGACTGGTGATTTTGTGTGTTTGTGTGTTTCTGTGTCTACTCTTGATCCATGGCTGAAGCTATAAAACTAAATATCTTAAACTCTGCATCTGTGTTTCTAGAATCCAGTCAGGCCTTCACCTTTACCATTCTTATAATTGCATATGGAATGCTTTCCTATTTTCTGAGAGTATCAATATATTAGATTGTAGCACTTTTAAATTAAAAGAACTTGTTCTGATCAGCTTATAAACAAGTGCTAATATAAATTCAATATTCCTAAAATTCACAGAAAATAAGGAAATTGAGCCTCTACTATCTTTAGGATATCAGACTTAAAAATAAAAATTCTTTTTTTATAGAAACTGTTAACCAACTCAATAATATTTTTAAAAAATAATTATTTATTTATCCATTCATTTCTTTTAAGTTGACCAAAAGAGACAGAAACAGAGAGAGAGGGAAAGTGAGAAGGCAAACCACCAGGTCTGGGACTCCAACCATGGTTCGAGAGTGGGAGTGTTCATGTGGGAGCATCCAGCACATTAATACCACCACGCCACCTGCTGGTTTCCACAACTCAATAATATTTTAAGCATACGAATTCATAAAATTAAATCTCATTTGGAAAATGGGACTAGCACAAGTTAAGAAAAACAACTATGATGTATCAGTGTTATATATAACACAAATGTATTGGGTTGTCTGAAAAGACATCATGCATTTTTGCATAGAAAAATAGAAAAAATATGTCATGACTTTTCTGACAACTCACTACATCTTACTGTACTTAGGTTCATTTTTCCTAAGTGTATACAGGATAATGGGTTAAATCAACTCATGTTACTTCTACATATTATTTAATAATTACTGAAAATATAAATTTTGGTTAAACTAAATTGAATAACTATTCTGACAAATTTTTATGTGAACATTAATTATGTTCTGTAGCATATCATCTTAAAAGATAATTTCCAGGACCAGCAGTTAGCTTAATGGCTATGTCGCTGGACTCCCACGTGGTTGACTGTGGTTCGAGTCCTGGACCCAGTGGTTTAAACTCACGCCGGTGCATGTGCGTGTGTGCCCAAGATCTCGAGAGGAGAAAGGAAGAGAAGGGATTGTGGTGTGGCCATCCCCCCCAGGGGGTGATTTCTCACTTTCTGTCTCTGTCTTTCTGGCGAACGCATGTGCCTTATAGCAAAAATCTTTCCGAAAACAAACAAACAAACAAACAAAAAAGATAATTTCCAAGAGCTTTAGGTAACTTAAAACAGTTTATAATAACTTAAATTAATTGATAATCATTGGCTATCTAGATCATTTCTTTCTTTTTTTCTTTCTTTCTTTCTTTCCTTCCTTCTTTCTTTTTGAGAGGTTTTTGCTATAGGGTGCGTGCGCTCGCCAGACAGACAGAAAGAGACAGAGAGACAGAAAGCGAGAAATCACCCCCCAGGGGGGATGGCCACGCCACAATCCCTTCTCCTCCATTCTCCCCTTGGGATCTTGGGCATGCATGCACACGTGCCTGGCGTGAGTTTTAAGCCACCAGGTCTGGGACGCGAACCGTGGTCGACTACATGGGAGTCCAGCAACATAGCCATTACGCTAACTGCTGGTCCCTCTAGATAATTTCTAAGTAAGTTAGAATACTGAAACACTGGGGCTGGGAGGTGGTGTGGTGGTTGAAGGTGCTGGATTCCTACATTGCTGACCATGTCCTGGACCTGGTGGCTTGCTTTCTCCCTTCCCCTTTCTCTCTCTCTCTGGTAAAATGAAAAGGCAGGTGGCATGATGGTTAAGGGCTCTGGACTCCATCAAGGTGACCATGGTTCAAGTCCTAGACCTGGAGGCTTGCTTTCTCACTTTCCCACTCTTTCTCTCTCACTCTGTCCCTCTCTGGTCAAATTAAAATAAATAAATAAAATAAATAAATAAAGTTAAAAAAAATTCTTCACCTCCCAAAAAAGAATATTGAAACATTGAGTACAAAATATATAATATTAAATTTACATGTTTGCTTACTTTTCTATGCCATAATAAGGCTATTCCTCAGGGTTACGTCAGTGAATTAATTAATGAGACATACAAGTGAAACTTTCAGTTACACATGTCCATGAGCTTTGCTAAAATGCTTACATGTGACAGACAGTTCGCAATTGTCTGCATTTTCCTCCCATTTTCTCCATGAAAGATGTTAGTTCCTTTGGTTAATTATTATAATTAAAAAGGGTGGTTTAGAATATGCCTGGTTGGCCAGGTGTAATAATGAGAAAGAAATAAAACTGTATATATGCATTTGCTTTAGAAAGAAAAAGAGAGTAGTTTAAAACAGTAGTTTTGAGCATTTTGGTTCCGGATTTCTTCACACACTTAATACTTATTTGAGGGGGCCGGCCACATGGCACAGTCGTTAAGCACTGCGTTAAGCACTGGGATTCAGATCTCACAAGGCTGGTAGCTGTTCAAATTCCAGCCCTGGTGGCTTGTGCATGTGCCCAGAATCCTGACAGGATGCAGAAATAGAGGAAAGGGGACTGCAGTGTGACCATGCCCCACTGGGAAGTACTTTCTGTCTGTCTTTCACTGGTGAGCAAATGTGTCCTCTGGCAATTAAAAAAAAAGTTTAATAACATCTTTTTTTAAAATTTTTTATTATCATAATCTTCTTTATATTACATTGGATTACATATATCTTTACAGTGTATTACATTGCTGTTTCAAAAGGGAATGCCATGCATGTCAGTCAGTACACAGACATTAATCTCCCCGCTTCAACATTCGATATCTTTTCTATGTTTTCCCCAATCATTATTATTATTATAATTATTATTATAATTATTTTTTAAAAGTTAATCGCTATTTCTCATTTTGCTTGTAAAAATACTTTGCCCAACATGAAATGGAGGATCTATTGCTGAGTGAAGTAAGCCAGGCTATGAAAGAAAGATATTGTTATGTATCCACTCAATATTGGAGGACGTAAAAGCAGTGAAGGTACTTAATGAGAATAGGACAGTGTGGAAGGGAAGAAGTGAAGAGAAGAGGATAGAGAAAGATAGCAAGTGAACAATAGAGAGGCAGGACGTTAGTGAGAAACAGATATGGCTTATTAACTGTTGATGACATGTATAGTATTCTCAACTGGATTGGTCTGAGAAACAACATCTTTGAGACATCAAAGGACTCTAGTTTAAATGAGTGGTAATTGTTAATATTTACTGTATTTGAAATTAAAACTAAGAAATTAAAAAAAATTAATACATTTGAAAATAGCAATGATGAATTCATTTCATTTTAACATAAATCACATGTATTTTATAAAAAAACATATATTTTCTTTTTTGGAGAGGTTTTATGCTATAGGGCACATGTGTTCTCCAGAAAGACAGAGACAGAAAGCAAGAAATCATCCCCCAGGGGAATGGCCTTGACACAATCCCTTCTCCTCCATTCTCCTCTCGGGATCTTGGGCATGCACGCACACACACCTGGAGTGAGTTTAAGCCACCAGGTCTGGAACTCGAACAGTGGTTGACTACATGGGAGTCCAGCAACATAGCCATTACTCCAACTACTGGTCCCGAAAAACATATTTTTTAAAACAAAAAATACTGATAAGAAAATGGCATTAATATTTTTATAATCCTTTGAAAGTCTGGCTTAACAGAAGAGAGCCAGATACTTCTCTCTTTCTTCATGTTTTAATGATATCATGTAGCCCCTGGAAAACACCACTGTATATTTTTTGAGAGAATAGGATGAAAAAGGCAATTCTGAAGTGTCCATTTGGTTCAGAATACGAAAGAGAAAACTTAAGAACAACATTTAGAAAGTGGATTTTAGTGTACTTGAGGCTGAAAAAAAAGTTATAAAATACATTATATCATTTTGGCAAAAAGTGTCCCC